TGTCTACGTTTTTTATACGTTTTTTAAACGTATTATATCCGTATACTTTCCTTATACATATTATTTATAGGGTAGATGTGCGCAAATTAATGGCAAAAATAATAAATTCTGTTTTATTATGTGATGATTTACGCGAGTTATATATTATGGAAAAACTTGAATATCTTCGACCTGAAGTAGATATAGAAACAAGGTGGAATTCCACCTATTATATCCTTTGTAAATTGCAGCGAATAGAAACAGCATTAAAAATGCTTGCAATTAAGCATGAAAATATATGAGATTTAATGCCAAATGCTATAACATAGGAAACAATAGCAGTAAAAATCTTTTAATATTAATCAATTTATTAAAATAACACATTTTCTAATTATAAAAATTTAAGGAATTGATAATTGTTTTAGAATCTCTTGAAAAAGCAACTAAAAATCTTTTAGTTTCAATGTATCCAACTATAGCTAATGTGCGATTTTACTTTACCGAAATTCAGGATCATCCAAAATATTGTATAGAGAATGATGACTTTAATCAATACATGTTAGCTAATTCAATAAATCAAAAAATTAACGAATATTGGAAAATTCTTGATGATGTAACTACTGTAGCAACAATACTAGATTCTCAAAATAAAACTACTCTCTTTGAATCAGGTGAACTAACAACAAAGACAATTAATACCTTACGAGATCAACTTTCCTTATATCTTAATCAAAGGCCACAATTACAAACTTCTCTTCCAAAATCAAGTTCTTCATCTCGTGAATATTTTTGTCAATTAAAAAAACGTCATTTAGGAACAACTGCTGAAACAACATAAATTCTAGCTTCATCTAATCCTGATTTTACAGAAATAGAACGATATCTAGCTTTACCATTTAATAAAAATGTGGAGGCACTTCTTTGGTGGCGAGCTCATTCTGCTGAGTTTCCGATACTCTCATTAATGGTGAGAGATTACTTAGCAATACAATCAACAAGTGTAGTCTGTGAGCAAGCATTTTCTGTAGCAGGTAATACAATTACTAAAACAAGAAATCGGCTACACTCAGAAACTGCAAGGGCGTCATTATGTACGAAAAGTTGGATTGAAAATAGCGTTGGTAAACATGTGGCTTAGTTTTAATGTAAATCAAAATTACGTCATAGTAGATGATCAATGATTAAACTGGTTTATAATAAATATTCAAAAATATAAATTTTATGTAATAATTAATTTTTTAATGCTAAATTTCTATTTAAAAGTTAAATAAGATAATTTAAATAAATAATTGCAAAATTAAATTAAATGCTATGAAAGATGAAAATCATACAAATTATGTAAATTAATAAGTTAAAACCAGATCTTGAGACTAAGTCCTAGGACCAAAATCAGGACCAGACCTGGTCCGACCTAGTTCTAGGACTTATTATGTTATGGATCTGGTCCACTAATCCAACTGTTAGGACTTATAAGTCTTAGGACCAGGACTGGACCAAGATGGACCTTACCAATCCTAGTTTCAAGCCATCTTTTTCTAATATGAGAAACTGTAGAAGGTGCAATTTTTTGAGTCTTTGCTACTTCTCTTGTTGTGTATTCTTTTTGTAATGAAAGAAGAATTTGTGCTCTTTCATTAGGAGTTGTGTGATGCTTTTTTGCTGCCACTTGTTTATTAAGTAGTTGTGACATATCACGGGATCAAACAATAAATAAATAAAAATACCTTTTATATAAATTTTTATGTAGCACAATAATGATCGTCTGATTCATGTTAAAAACAATCAAAAGTAATGCAATGCGTGATTTATACAAATTGCATATTATTTTATAACTGGAAATATTAATGAATATTAAAAATTTTAATACCGAAAATTAATGGTAGTATTAACAAATAAAATTTTATTAAAGAGGAGAGGGTGGGATATCTCTAGATTTGAAAGAAATATTTAAATTTAAAGGATTTTATTTTTTTGTTGCATTATTTATGATCGCCACTGTATATTCACATGCATGTAGATATTTTCCTCCTTCGGTCATAAACCTTTAGGAGAATACTATATATATAAAAATATTTTTGATTTATAGATTATAGGCGTTCACAAATTAAAAAATAATTGATAAGTGTGAAACGATAAGTAGATAATATTAAAGTGTGACCAGGATGGTCACACTTGAGAAAAATTTAGCGCAGTGTTTATTTTTTCATTAGCAATCAAAGAATTCATTAACATTGTGATGCATTTCACATTCATATACTGTATATGTAAAAAACAAATGAGGACGTAATGTAAAAGAAAAATAGAATGCTTTTTGGCTAATTATTCTGATGCACATCACACACCCACACTACTCGCAATCATGTAAAAAATCATGAATTTGATGTGAGCGAATAATAAATGATTTATATGATTTATTAATTACATAATTGCAATTGTTTACATTTTAACACCTCAGCATATTCACAAACTGCATTATAATTTATATTATTTCAAATCAATGTCC